AGCTAATATTAGTTGCATGAGCATTTTTTCCATGTATACACAACTCTATTAAAGTTGTGCAATGCCTACAGGGCCATGAAGAAATCATCAGATTCAATGAGACTGGACTTGCAGATGAGTTTCAGGCACTATGTGGCTACTAGATTTTGAACCCTGGTCTTCTGTAATAGCAGTTATTTTTCTTAATGGCTGAGCCATCTCTTCACATACAGTATTGTAAAACATACAAAAACATGTCATAGGCCATAGTACAGAAGGTGTCTTTGTTGCTACTAACTGGAATGTGATACTAATCTGATTGGCTTCTAGGTTCTTATGTTTATACTCTCAGATTGCTGCTTTCAATGTTTGTCTTAGAAGTTTCATTTTACCATGGGCAAAGATTTATACAGAAACTTATAACTAAACAAGTAAAAAAAATTGGCCTCAGAATGCTCACTCCGAAATGTGACAGCTAAATTACCCCCTCCAAGGCTCAGAGGAGATTTAAAAAAAAAGAGAGGAGTAGAAGAAATATAAAGTCTGGCCTGGAGAAGAGGCTCACTAGTTAAGAACATATACTGCTCTTGACAGGGACCTGGGTTCAGTTTCCTGAATCCCTGTCAGTTGGGGCAATTGCCTGTGACTCCAGAACCAGGGAATCCAACAACTTCTTCAGGTCTTCATGGACAATTTACTCATATACACAAACACATACACATTTTTAGTGAATATAAATAAAGTTTCTTAAACATTTTAGAATCTATAGGAAAGGTAGAGACATATAGAAAGTTCACTTCTGGACATGAAAAGATCAATGCACTCTTGAAATCCCAGAAATTGAATGAAGAAGGAAAGGATTCATGAGGTTCTGCCTCTCCCTGAGGATTTATAGGCAGGTAGTGACAACCAGAGAAGGAAGAACTGTTTACTTCAACAGTGTACAGATTAATTGGATGTCTATATTCCTGCAAATAACTCTCCAATATATGGTCTCTTATAATCAACACTTAATAAATTCACTGCGTCACCAAATTTATTTAAAGGCATTATAGTAGCAGAAAAATAATTTAGTAGATGGAGAAGAACAGTAAGAGTGGGAGAGTGACAAAATGAGGTAATAGGATGTGAATATAAGCAATATATATATATATATATATATATATGTGTGTGTGTGTGTGTGTGTGTGTATGTATTATATGTCTGTCTGTTAGAATGGATTCTATATATTGCAATAATATAATAATAAATTGTATAATACATACATATATGAAATAATAGAGACATTAAAAAATAAGAATTACTGTCATTACTCATGTACACATACCCATATACTGATGCACAGGCACACACATAATTTTTAAATTAAAAATAAAAGTTATAAAAACAAATTATTAAAATACTCAACACAGTGTTGTTGTATGCTTTAAACTCTGCACACAGGATAGAGGCATTTAGATATCTGTGAGGTGAACATCAGCCTGGATGGACTACTTATTGAGTTCCAGAGATACTGTTGAGACAGTGTTTGAAAACAAATAAACATACCCTCATTATAAAAGAGAGTAAGAATGAGAGAACAAACATCAAATAAAATATATAATTCATAACAAAATAATAAATGCTTTATAATACAAACTCACAGCAAACATTATCCTCAATGGAGAAAATTTATATATGTAAATTCTACCAGAAAACTTGCTGAAATGATGAACAATTTCAAGAGTCAGGATACAATTCAGCTTACAAAAATCAGTAGTTTTATGTATACCAGCAGGCTAAGAAGATTGTTGACATGTTTCATTTTAAAATACCTTCAAAGTATATAATAGACCTTGCAATGATCCTAATCAAGGAGGGTAAA